TTTACCATTAATTACAACAATTATTAAAGGTTTTGGTAAATTAATTTGCAAAATGAAATTAATTAAAAAGCTAAATTGTTTACATAATGAGCTATCATTTTAACGAGCATCCAATCCAATCTCTAACTTTAATGGAAATGCTTGAGCGAAAATTTTTTTCCCTCACATCAATAAAATAAAATACGGGAGCCTCCGATTAGCCAGATTTTTTATTGTAATTTGTTTGTACTTTATCTTGCTTTGTGTCCAAATTATTATTGGATTTGTGGTTGGTAAGCCCGCCAATCGTTAATAAAATGTGTCCATCATATGCAGATCGACATGGTCTGATCCCTTATTCAGCGTGACACGCATCGACTAGAATTACGATTTAAGAATAATTTTTCGGAGTAGTAATTCCGTCGTTTAACCTGAAAAGGTTTACAAGTGGTTAGCGGTTTTCTTTTTTTTTTTAAAAAAAAAAAAAAAAATAATAAATCGAGCTAATGAAGTATTTTTTTTTTTTTTTCCTTTTTAGAATTTTATTACAACATTTAAAGATTTTTTTTTTTTACTTGTTATTAATTTTATACTTCGACAGATCACCATTCAGGAAGATCGTTATTTATGATTACCTAAGCCCATCAGATTTTTTTTTTCAATTTTATTTGATCAAAAAAAAAAAAATTTTTTCATCATCGGTCATCATCTTATACTTGATTTTTAAAAAAGGGGGGGTTAAACCTTATTAATCCTTACTATCAAATCGGAAATTTTTTTTTTTGAATTAACCAAATACGGTGGATTAGTATGATTCATTATTAATATTTGCTAATTTATTATGTAATCAAGAAGTTGGGGAATGAAATGTGGAAACATTTTTTATAACTGATATGTCGGAAAGGGACCATTGATCTTTTTTTTTTTTTTTAATTGCATAAGTTGCATTTCTCAACAATTATAATGTAATAATACAAGATAATCTTTTTTTTTTTTTTGGACGGTATGCATTTCGAACGTCCAAAAAAAAAAAAGGTCCATGACGGTGTATCAAGAACCGAAAGAAAAAAACAAGTTTAATTTACCCTTTAAATTAATATTAAATTTTAACAGATTTGTCACTCTATTATTGCGACTCTTTAATTAATGAGGATGATTCCAAGTTAATGTGCAAAAAAACCTTTCCCTTGCCCTTATCAAGTAACATCGAAAAGGCAGCACTTTGCCGTGCAATTCTTGAACGAAAAATGGTAACAAAGCCGAATTCATCCAGGAAGAGGACATATATCTATATACATTAAAAAGAAAGATTCGCACATAAAATAAACCAATGAACGACCTACTCATGTCCAGATGTGTCTCGAATGAACTAATGAGCTATTACGCGGTTAAAGATGGATTTGATTGGGATCACCTCATTTCGGGCATATTGCTAAAATCTACTATCGTATTTAACCCTCCATAAAGATGCGATATATCATGAATTTAGTAGGATCCCTTTTTTACATATATTATGTAACGTAATTTATGTCATTATCCTCGTGAATTCCTGCCATTATGTCATTGCGAATTTAATCAAAGTCGAAAAGGAATCTCAGCTGAATTAAATTCTATATAAAGTTTTTTTTTCAACTTACATAATTCGGCGGCATGCACAAGTTTTTTAAGATTTTAAAATTTATAATTAATTTTTTTTTTTTCTTTATTTTCTATGCGCTTAGAAAATTTTTAATTCGATGCAATGATTACATGCATGAAAGCAAAAGACATGCGCATTTCCGCAAAAATTCATAATTTTGAAATTCAAATGTAAATAAATAAATTTCAAAATGTGCCGGGAGAAGTCTCAAAAAGGATATTGAAGTTCATCAATGCCGTATTCAATGATGCCATTTATTTGTTACTCTCGGCTCAAAATATCATTCTCGACCAAACACAAGCACAAAGGATGATGATCTTTCAAATAAAAACACGAGACTCTTGAATGGGTTCCTCCCACTCACGGCTAAAAATACACACGCAGTGTAGGCATTGCTTTATCACGTGGATGTACTTCCACTGTCAAAAAAAAAAAAAAAATCATGCAAAGCACCAAAAGATTAAATTTTTTTTTTTTTTTGAAATGGGTTAGCATCAAAATTAATTGATTTTGAATCTAGTCAATTAATTTTTTTGCCTAATGAAAGGAAAATTGACTTTTGTAATGCAAATTGAATTTTTACCAACAGATCATTTACAAATCTCGCATCTATTAAAACGTGGTATCGTCGCACAGTTTAATTTTTTTTTTTTTAACAAAATCTAATCCAATTGAAGTTTTATTCCCGAAATGAAAATGATCTGAATATTTTAGGAAATTCTTAATGAATAGTAATAAATTACATTAATTTAAACCGCATTACGCCTAGACCGAGAAAAATTTTATCATTTGCAAGACGTTTCCTAATCAATTATGTAAAAACGTAATGAAAAATATCAAAAATTACAAAGGTGAGGTGACAAAAAGGAATTTATGATTGGGTACTTTTTGAAATTGAAAAAAAAAAAAAATAAATAAATAAATGTTACGATCATTTCATTTGAAACGTTACGCATTACTGCGGCGAATCATTATGAATTCCTTTGATGAAAGCGACAAAAGTGACAAAAAGATTGTGATATGTGTGATAAATAATTTAAATAATATAAACAATCAATAAATACCACCTAATGAACATTTTCAAATACCATTGACATGGTCGAACAAAAAACCGGTTCATTTTCATTTTTTATTGGTAGAATACTAAAAATTAAAAAATATGCACCTATCGCGTCGATCATTTATTAACGAATTGAATAATAAAATGTAAATAATGTAAATGCAACCTCTTATTAACGATAACGATTTCTCGTGTCTTTATAAGATCGTTGATATTATTACTATTATTATTATTATTATTAATTTCTTTTCATGAAAAACGCACGAACGAGTCAATCATTAAAAGGCTTGGTCGGCTAAAAAATCTTTCAATACGAAAATTACAAATACTATATTGAACATTGTATGCCTTAAAAATGTAACGGTTGCACATGCATATTTTTTTAGCTTTCGTAATCGGACATTCAACAGCCCGAAATGTGTCACACCCCGTAATAAATATGAGATCCAATCAATGATGTATTTTAAAATACCGTAGGAATGTACCGAACATTTTTATTTAATCGAATTTTTAAAAGTATGTGCACATATCTTTTTTTTCAGGAGTCATCTGACTCATCTTACATCCCGAATATATTACGCAATTTATAGTTGAGTTGATTGATGTTGATCGCGTTCTTTTTTTTTTTTCCGTTTTTTTTTTTTTGACCCTCTTCAAATGATTGTTTCAATAAAGAGTGATTAAGGTTTACCGTCACAGAGATAAACAAGTTTTTTTCCTTTTTTTTCTTTCCTTCTTTTAATCAGAGAAGATTCATTATCATACGAATAATATTTTTAACATGTTTACTTTTTAAAATAAGATGATAAAGGGATTCTGGTTATTTTAAGTTGGGCTTTACTATGTTTTGCCTCTTTTTTTTTTTATCTTATTTTAGAGATAAAACAATATTCACCCTTTTCAAATTGGAAAGTACCATTGTTCTCATTCCATTGTGCACGTGTTGTGATTACGTCACGCCCATAATTCTATTTTTTTCCCCAATAATTTTGTAACAATCGGGAATCGAAAGCCAAATTGTGACTAATACAAAAACTTGATGCACGAGAATCAAAACATCACCGTCTTTTCTCACGCGATTCTTCATCTCACAATAGCGCTAACCAACAACCAACTTATTTGAATTAAACCAAACATGGTACGGAGAGAAGAATCATCATTGGATATTTTAAATTCTAATCATTTCTGGACTTTTTTTTTTTCCTTTGTTTTGGGCTGAAATCTTGAAACTTAAAGGATCTTTTTTTTTTTTTGTGTATCGTATATAATATGTAATGTATATATGATATATATACATTTTTTGAAGGGAATGCCTAGGCCTCTCGTGTCACTTCTGGAAAATATCGAGTCCCAGCCTTTTTTATTCGACTGTTATTGGTGATATTCACTTTACCACTTTATCAGCATAAATTAATAAGGATAAATTATTTCTCATTGACCTTTTTTTTTTATACTTTACAATTGAGCTCACATGACCGTCACGTAAGGATGTTGTTATAATGCGGCTATTTAAAGTTTGCCTTTCGTTCCTCAAAGAGGACTAGATGTTTACATTCGGACAACATCGCATACATACTCTAAAACGTGCTCTTTTTCTTCTTTGGCAAAGTCATCATATATAATAAGGATCCTTTCCAGGGTTGAATGTTATTTATATAACTATCTATGAAGATACTTCGTGTTTATACGATCACAAGATTGCTTAGATTAGATTGTTTAAAGGAAATTTTATCATGCAAAGCGCTATTTGACAGTCATCACTTGAGTTTTTTGTAGAAAAAAAAAAATCGCTTTAGTGTAAGCGTGATGTGTAAATTTGTGATGTTGTGATATATTGCCATTTTACAGTAAATTAATAAAATATACAGTATATATATATTATATTTTAATACATATATTTAATAATGCCCTTTTTTATATGGCAATAGTGTGTGAAATTTATTATTTTATTTTATTTTTTTTTTTTACGACAATTTTTTCCGTTCCGTCAACATTTATTCTAAATTTTTTTTTATATATATATAAATTTTTTTGGATATACATACAGTGCTAATCACTTTTTTTTGTAACAAAAAAAAAAAAAATATATTATTTTTTTTTCTCAAAACAAAAACAAAAAAAAAAAAAAAAAAAAAAAAAAAAAGACTTAAATACCTTTTAACCCCATCAAATAATTTCCGTAAATTTTTTCTTGAAAAAAAAAAAATTTTTTTTTTTAAATAAATTTCGAATTTTTTTTTTTTATTTTCCTTTTTTGATCGCTAAGCTACAACCACTATAAAGTGGTTATTTCAATGATAAAATAATTTTTACATAATAATCATGAACATAGAACGATTGATCAGGTAGATTTAAAAAGAAGACAATTTTTTTTGTTACCGCTCAATTCCTTTTTTTTTTTTTTATTCATATTATTACGATTATCTTTTTTTTGTTTTTGTTTTTTCGTAATCACAGTAATCCGGACCCAGTAATAAGACAAAGATATTCGCAATTACCACAAATGTTATCTTGTATTGACACGACATCACACCATCATAAAGGACGCCTCACCTCTACTTTAATAAACGCACGACAAACACCTCCAACGCAACGTGGTTACCAACTTCGCCGACATGTTTCACCACCACAACATTCTTCTCATCAAATGCTACAATCCTCTATGGCCCCCCCCAATTTCTTTGCACCATCAACAGATAGCACCAGCGCCTCAATCAGCACAAATGCCAATAACCGTGGATTTGCAACAACAACAACAACAACGACAGCAGCAGCAGCAGCAGCAACAACAACCTCAACCACATTCCCCACAGCAACCGCATCCACCACAATCTCAAACGCATACCCCTCCCAACCGTCGTATAGCCCACATCCTTTCGGAACAAAAACGCCGAGAGAATATCAATTCAGGATTTGAAGAATTGAAGGGTATCGTACCTAGTTGCCGCGGATGCGCCGATTCGAAAGCCGTGATATTACGAAAAGGTAAAATAAAATAAATAAAATAATATAAATTAATCGAAATTTTTTAACTGTGGGAACATGCGACATGTGGGTTACGGTCGTACGAATAAACTTTCATGTCCTAAAATGAGGTCATTTGCGCGAAGGAATAAAAGAAAAAAATTATTATCGAATGCTGGTTTAGAGAGCGCATGCATGTATATCGATAACGAATGTCACCTTTGATTCCAAGAACCACCTCTACCCTAAATTATTAAAAAAAAAAAAAAAAAAAAGGTTTAATTAATCTTTTTTTACGTAATTCTTTCTTTCTTATAGCTGTCCATTATATCCAGACACTTGAATCGGAAATTCAAAAATTTAAACAGTCATGTGAGAATCCAACAACTCCAAACGCATCCACGACACCACCCTTGGCATCGCCCGCGATGTCTACCAAATCCATGACCATAAATAATAACACGAATGGAAATTTATCATTACCGCCCATTTCAGTAACATTGCCGGGATCATCATCTCCAAGACAAGTACAAATGCACGAAAATGCTGACGACTCTTCTGTATTTGCTCTCCAAAGGTCGAGGTTGATCGAAAAAAATATGCAACAGCAGCATCATGCGGATCAATGGCGATCACCGCCTTGTCAATCGCACTATCAACAGCGTCAAAACTATCAAAGAACCTTTACTCATCCCATACCCAGGTTTCATAGTCAATATCACAATGAAAATTTAAAGTCCGATTGGAATTGTGAAAATGTTGGAAGTTACAATAATCATGATCATGACAAAGCATATCAATATCATCGACCCAATCAGAATCAGGATAATCTGTCACAAACTTATCGACAGCGTTAACACAATAATGTTAAAAGGTTTAGGACAATAAAGAACCAAAAAAAAAAAAGAAAAAAAAAAGGCTTTAAATTGTATGACATGTTTTTCTTTTTATTTTGAGTGCTTTATCGGTGAAGGAAAAGAAAAGCATAAAGAGGTCATGAATTACCACATCATATCGGCTGAAATGCTACACGGTACAAATTATGATCACGCATTGTTTGCTCGTGTGCTGTTCCTTGAAACCTAATGATCTGGGTACATGTAAATTAAATGGTGGAGGGTGTGTTCAAGATGGTTAACAGGTTTACATGCAAAATATAAAAAACATTTATCATTACGAAATGATTTGTAATGCTTTATTTGTTACATATTGAGCCTTTTGACGTATGTATATTACTTGTACATGGAACGTAGTTTTTTTTTTTTTTTTTAAAAAAAACTCGAACAACCTGATAATAATGTTCGAATTTCTAATAAATTTACTTTGGTAATCGTCTTTTTCAAAGTGTACGTTTTGAGAAAGAAGAAATGTAATAATATTTGAACGAATCACACATTGATGTTTCACATATATATAAATTAATCTTTACGTAATCTCATTTTATTTTCTTGCTATAAATAAATTTATATGCCACGGTAAGGATCGTGAATAATTGGTCAATGTAGCATTTAAGCGCACAAGTTTTTTTGAAATCTTTTTTTTTCCAACGACCCGAAAATTTTACCTTCAAGACATGTGCCACAAAAACTTTAAAATGTTTGTTCGTATTTTGAACATCTGAGCAGCTGAACAAAAACTTTAATATAAAAAATAAAAAGACATGTGCTTCTGATCATATGGTAACATCGAGTATTTATTTTCATATAAATATTGTAACAAGAAATAAGAAAAAAAAAAATTTTTTTTCTAATAAATAATAAACAATGAAAAAAAAAAAAAAGGTGCATAAAAAACTAAGCCAATTCGAATCTAAATACGCAGCAAAGATTATCTTCAACTTTTTATGTTGGCCTGTGATTTAACTAATTTTAAAAAAATTTTTTTTTTTTTCATCTCTTTTTAGTTGATTTTCTCACACATATGAACTTCAGTCACATGCGACTTAAGTAATGGTCACAAACGCACGAGCCACCTCGCATCAAGCTAACCAAATGAACGTAGGCTTGTACGAGGGGCCCCTGAAATCCATTATAATGGCATAAGAAATTAACCTTAAATTCTTGAATAAACTTGTAATTTTAGATTGTTCGAGCATACAACGGTGTAACAATTCCGAGTCAAAATTCTTCATTCTTATTCCCCGCTTCTTATGCATTTACTGTGCATATCTAATTTGTTTAATTACTACATTTTTACAGACTCGATTCTCAATCATGACTTTCTAATATCCTTCATATACGAAATTAGTTTATCGTACATGACTACAAAAGTTATCGAGATAGCATTTCAAATTATTTGCATATTTTTGGTGTTTAAGGATGCATTTTAGAGTTAATTGGGCGTATAAAGGAACGCCCTATTAAAAAAAAGGGGATCAATACATGCGACACGGCGCAGTAATGTTGGCTGTGAAATTTATGCATGTTTTTCAGTTCATACCAATACATCGAAGAATTGTTGAGGGGAAAAGCTCTTAATATTATATCATTTATCAAAGGATATAAATTGAAGCTAACGAATCAACAGGGAGTATTTATTTGTACAACGTACGAGATGCCCTCGAGACGGGAAAAGAAGGAAACAGAAGTTTTAAACAATCTGAATGGGAATCTTTCCCGTCAAAACAAAAAAAGTTCAAAACCGTACGGTCCGGTCCATAAAGTGCGATAATCTTTCTTGATTTTTAAACGGTCCAACGCGAAAGAACGTTCTTTTAACAGTAAACACTGAAATGATTAATTATATCATGTTGTAAAACAAAGCCGTTAGGAATCAATCTTCCAAATTAATACAGCTTTAAATGATGTGATCATATGCAAGATTTCCTATTAAATAAAATAAATGTGCATTTTTGCGAATCGTACAATCTGGTTTGTTAAAAAATAAAGAAGCAAACCTTATTTACATAATCTTATTTATGAACAAGTATTGTTTTTTTTTAAAAAAAAAAAAATAAACGTTTGTGTTACCACCAGAATTATTTATTGAAGGTCTTTTATTATCGTTGTCATTATTAATTATTAATTATAATAATAATAATATTAATATTATTATTTATTATCTTTATTATTTACACCAAACATAAAAGAGGCACAACATAAGAAGACAAATCACACCACGCGAAATAACATCACAATTTTTTGCATATCATTCTCTTACAAATACGGCCTGTGGCAATATGACGAAAAAAAAAAATATTGCATAAGGAAGACACCTTATGCATTTTTGTTTATGTGATTTACTTATATATTATAGTAATGTTTATAATACTAGCATAAGTTGTCTCACAGCTAATGTATGCCAATGTTCATGTGACGTTCGAGAAGGAGGGGGGGTCTTTTTCGTGGTATTGCTTCCCTACGTGAACGTATAACAATCAAAACCTTTGTAATAGGTTAGGATGCCTATCATTAATATTAAACAGAAAAAAAAAAAAAAAAAAAGATTAGAATGATAACATCCTTGAGAATGTTCCTAGGTTCAGATCAGGTATTAATCGTCTTAAAAAAAAAAAAAAAAAAAAAAAAAAAAACGCGTAAATTAAAAGTTTTAAAGTAAATAAATTACATTAATATTTTTCCCGAATTTGTTTCTTATCCGATAAAGGATACAATCATATTATTCGTGAATCTCATAAAAGGAATCTTGGCTGTTGTCCGTTCATCGTTGTGGAGATATTTCAATGTGATAAAAATTAATTTAACCGAACAATAAACAATCGTAAGAATTAATCAACAAATGTGGAAGGTTTTGGGGCAATTTTTTTTTTTTTTTTTTTTAAAGAGTAACAACCTGTGAACAAGATTTACAGAAAGTGGTAAACATTAATCTAGACGCCAATTAATGTGTGATATATAGATGCAGAACCCAAAAACATTTCCAATGTAATTCGGCTTCCTCCCGTCCTCTCATGATCTCAACGATAAAATTTCTTTCGTTGGTGCAGATGAACGATGTACAAATCTCGTCATGTTACAATTGATGTGCCTATATTACATATTCGGTTACTCTATAAATAATATATATGCTTATAATATCCGGAATAGGCAAAAATTAAGAGGAATTTAAAAAGACCAGTAAAAAACTTTTATCTCATTCTTATATTGAAGAGAAGTTGAGTAAGTTTGTTCTAGACAAGTATGGAATGGCTTATTGGCAATGTCCTTTCTGGACGAGCATTCAGGCAGTCATATTTCGAAGCCGCGACAATCAATCCTTTTTCTGATTATATTAATTCAGATTCATTTTTACAACATAAGTTTAGTACCTTTTAACTACGCTTGCATTAAAAACTTTCATCAAGACACAAGAGTCCCGATTACTGCAACTATGGCTTGCTTTTATCAATCTCCACATCGTCAAGAAAGTAATTTTGGCGTTTAATAAATCTTATTCTGAACATATCGCCACAAATTTTGAGAGCATTTATGCAAGAGACCGACTTTACATTCCTGTTACACCGCGGCGAATTTAAAAAAGAAAAAATACGCGCGGCAATAAATCTTTACGGTTAATACCGATGCAGTGTTTAAGCTAAATATCAGATAGAGCTCAAATTTTCTTTTTGATGTACATTCCAAATAACGATGAAGGAAGGGAAAAAAAAGGGTAAGCACGTTGTAAAGATGTGCGGGACATGTGAGTAACCTACATCTCTTTTTTTTTTTTTGACAAATTAAAGTTTAAAATTAATGATTCACATATCCCTATTTAGCACAACAGTTTGCATAATCATCTGACTTGTACATTTGAACACCTACATCAAATTAATTGTTAGATGTTCTATTAGTACAACTTGAAATGAAGTGAGATTACATCATTTGTAATATAAATCATTATCATTATTATTACTTTTAATTTTATTATTTACAGTGTGGTAGCTTTTAAAGAAACAACCGAATCGCCAAAGTCGCACGAACGATTTTTGTATATATACAACTATAAGATTTACAATATATTGTTTAGTGGTACAATGAAATCTTATCGTTTTATTTGTTAGTTTTGGACATTGGAATAAATAATGGGTTGTTTACATCACTCATCGGAAAACAAAATATGGGATAAAATGGTGAAGATTGACATATTTATTGACATGTTTGTCACATCATTAGATATTTCTTGTAATTATTCTTGTTTTCATCTCTTTTTAATCTTAAAAATTTTTCTCAGGGTTACCTTATTAATTTTTTAATCTAATGAACAAAAAAAAAAATTGTAGTAACCCATAAAATCAAGAATGTGATGTCACACCATCTTTGTCACTCTGTTTTCTTGTCAAACAACACGTAAAAATAAAAAAAAAAAATTTTTTTTTCGTCAATTAAAATAAATAAATGTATCTATTCTTTGGTTTCGTTTACGACGAATCATTTCATCCAAGTTTACGGACAAATAAAATAACGCGAAACAAGAAATACCTGAAAATTTATTTCCAAAAGAACAAAAGATTCTCATTTCAAATTTCTTAAAATAATATAAAAAAGTTTTGTTTGTATCGGTACCAATAACTTTTAATAAAGCACAAAAAATTTTCAATTGTTACGTTCCAAGTTCTTTTTAACATTCTAAATGTCAATGGAATGGATCCCTTCAGTATACCATTTATGGCATATGTTAAGTTCCGTGCCGAAGGGTTCCATTAGGGTGCTGTTTCGCTTTCTATAAAAGGTGATATTTTCGTATATAATATAAATTATACATATATATTTTTTTTTTAAAAAAAAAATCATGCCGATCCGCGGCATTACTTGTTACTACGCGCTAAATTTTTTAAACTAGTTTATGCGTCGCCGAACATGCAACTTTCTGATAAGGAAAATCTGGTTTACACGTGTTATTAGGCATATCATGAACTTTTTGTTTACTTGCTCTATTCATGAAATATAGATTTTTCTTTTCTTCTCTGAAATAAGAAGGTTTAGAAAAAATGAAATATGTTGATAATCACCGGAAAATCTTGAAAATGTATTAATGAAAAATCCTATTCATACGTATTAGACTCTAATATCATCTTAACATTTAGAAAGATTAGATAGATTAGAATTATTTTTTTTTTTTATTTTATTTAATTAAAAAGCCGTTGAGATAAAGCATCGATAACATCATGTGCATAAATAAATAAATGATTGTTTACAAAGGTCATTTGGTAACCTAAAGACAAAGACATTAATGTGGAATAAAATTCAAAGGCAACAAAAATCCGCCTATTAAATTGACAGATTCATGATAATCTGGGAATTATCAAAAGAATTCATACAATAATTGACAAATAACTTGTATATTATTCAGCAAATTAATTAATTAAATCCTCATGCAGCAAAAGATTTAAAATTAATTAATTACTAGAATCACGTGACCGTATTCGAAAAGTTGATTATGAACGTTAATTGGCCGGGTCAAAACGCGATACCAAGGACACAATTTTACTGATAAATTCACCAGGCTAACCAAATCGAACAAAGGAGCTAGTGAAATAAATAAATATATATATATATATATAAAGGAATGAACATTTCTTTCGTTTGTTCGGAATTTCATCAAAGCGACACGCGATAGTTATTAGGATAGATAAATCTTTATCAAAATTCGATCGACAAGGAAATAACATCACGTGTCAAAATTCTAATTGGTTGGTAATTATAATAATGTAAATTATATTTCAAAAGAAAAGGTAAAACAAATGAAAATAAATTCGCAACAGATCGTGCACAGTAAATATTAAAAAATCTCATTAAAATTAATCATCAAGCTCAACAAAGCGAGGTTCTGACGAAGCTGGTTTTGAGTGTGCAGTAGTAGACTTTGTGGATTTGCTGTCTATGTTTTCACATTTCATTTCTTCATTTTCTTCATTCTTTCTCCCACGATCAAACATTCCCTTGAATTCTTTACGTTGTTTCTCATCTTGCTCTCTGTCTTTCATTTTAAGGTTATACCATTCACGTTTAATTGCCGCGTCTTTCCAAGATGATAGGACTCATTAAAATTACCGTGATAAATGAATAAAAATAATAACCTTTCTTCAATTCTTACCATCAGGATTCTTCAATGTTAATTTCTCCAAATCTTCCCGAGCTTTAGTTGTGTTGCCTTCGTTAATATAAGCCTGAGCTCGACGGAATAAAGCCTTCGTATTTTCAGGATCGTTCTTTATAGCCTAATCAATTACATCATATATATAAGAGTTAATTATACAAAAAAATTTTATAAATTGAAGTTTATTTGCTATACCATGTTCGCATAAGTAAGTGCTTTTGACCATTTTTCAAGTTTTATACAACATGCTATTTCAAATAAAAAATATATTTAAGCTAAAAGATAATCAAAAAGATCAGAATGAATTCATTAACGAATTCACTAACCAGACATATTACTATATACTACGCTCGTGGTCTTCATAATATCCTCTTGTAAAGGATCTTTCTTAGGTTCCTCCTCTTGTTCTTTTCGAAAAACAGCAAATGATTTGTTATTTTGAAGGCCACTCAAGTGAAGCAACGCCTAAAAACAGTCGTGTTAAGTAAGAATAAAGTCTATTATTACAATACTAAATTAAAGCTTCCTTTAAAATATAATATATCAGCAACTAACCTGGTGATAATATCGCAAAGCTAAATATCAAAAGAAAAACAAAAAGAGACAAGTTTGTCAGAAAATGATATATTTCAGGTGTTAACAAACAAATATTTGAAGTATTATAAACCTTCTTTCACATCTCCCTTTTTGAAACATTCGTTGCCATTATCCTTCTCGCGTTTTCCAGCGGCAAGTTTATCTTCATTTTCCGACATTTTTTCTTTATATAAATATATATATATGTACACTTTAAAAAGAAGGATGAGGAAAAAAAAAAAAAAAAAGCGATTTTTCATATATGTACTCGTTACACGAAGTCGGACGGGGACGTAAATCACTTTGATGTTGTACGAGCATCCCGAAAAGAAATTTTCAATTTCTTACATCATGACCATTTCTACAGAAATTTTTCAAACGACCTCATTAGAATCTATAAAATCTAATCCTTCCGCTTATGAAAATTTAGAAGCGATCCTTACTAATAAAGATGGACAGGTACCATTACATAAGCGTTTTCGAGCCATTTTTACTTTAAAAAATCTCGCTGACGAGAAAAGTGTAGATATACTTGCCAAAGGTAAGTAAAATAGGGAAATATTTTTTTTTCGAATTGTTTTCGCACATTTCAAATTGATACCACCTATCTTTTTTAGCCTTTGATGATGATTCTGCATTATTAAAGCACGAGCTTGCATATGTTCTGGGTCAAATAAAGGATCCATATGCAAACCCGGTGCTTCGTACCGTCTTAGCTAATAAATCGGAAGATCCTATGGTTCGGCACGAGGTAAACTTTTTTTTGAATCTCTATCCTAATGAAATCTTTTTAAACTCATTTATTTATCTTATCAGGCAGCCGAGGCTCTTGGGGCAATTGGAGATTCATCATCATTAGATATCCTTGAAGAATATCTAAATGATGAATATGCAGTGGTCCGAGAAACTTGCGAATTGGCTATTGCAAGGATTAAGTATGAGAATGATAAAGAAAAACTGGATGTTCCTAAAAGGTTGAAAAAGTTATCTTTGATTCTAACAAAAAAAAAAAATCATGATAATAACAAACGTTTATTGTTAATATTTAGTTTATATACTTCAATTGACCCAGCACCACCAAATATAAAAATTCAATCGGTATCAGAGCTGCGAGAAATTCTTTTGGACGCAAAATTACCATTATTTGAACGATATCGTGCAATGTTTGCATTAAGAAACTTGGGTAACACAGAGGCCGTGTTGGCTCTTGCTGAAGGTTTTAATGATTCATCTGCTTTATTTAGACATGAGATTGCTTATGTTTTTGGACAAATGCGAAGTCCAGCAAGTGTTCCTGCCTTGATTAAAACACTGGAGAATATGAATGAATTATATATGGTTAGACATGAAGCAGCTGAAGCACTGGGATCTGTTGCAACGCCTGAATGTTTACCAGTGTTGAAAAGATTCAAAGATGATCAAGAAAGGGTTGTCAAAGAAAGTTGTGAGGTAGCATTAGACATGTATGAATATGAGAGTTCTCAGGGGTTCGATATGCTGACCGTCTAAGTAACACGCAAGTTTTTGTAATAACGTTCTTTAGCTTTAATTTTAATAATTTAAGGCATTTAAAAAAAAAAGTTGATTTTAAAAGCTCGTCAATTTTCTTTTTAGGAAAAAAAAACTTTACTTTGACATAAGTGAATATTTGTTTGGGGGTCAATTAAAAAAAAAAAAAAAATTAAATTAATTATTACTACCAATAAATAATTTCTTCAATCCTTAACCCATTCCACAAATAGCTAAATCACGCATTTGTTGTAAAACAGCCTCAACCTTAGCATCAACTTGTCTCTCATTGCTAGGAGGAAAGTCTTCTTGCAAACTATTTAAATTATCATAACTTTCTTGACAGAATTTCAATTGAATTTTAACAAAAGCCTCAAATGTGGGATCTATATAAGGAACTCGAAGATCTATTAAATTAGGTAACTCTTTGCAAAGCTGACTATTGAGTGTTTCATATAATTCATTTGCTTCGTTGGCTGCTTGTTCAGCCTTAGATATAAAATAAATAAAAAAATTATTGTTAATAGCGAAAATTTAAAGGAAAACAAAAAAAAGAAAATTATTAAATTGTGACATTACTCTTGGTAATTTGTTTGGATCATCCGATGGTTTATCCACCAATTTACGAACTTTCGCGCGCTGTCTATCGTAATCTAAAAGTTTATTATCTCGTCTTTTAATAGTCTCGTTAATGCCCGGGAAATAAGTACAAAAGCGTAAAATAGGTTCGGTAACAGTTTGTCGATAAGGTTCATCCTATGAAATAATACATTTTAATACGAATTTTTCTTTTTTTTTTTAAAGAAAAAAATGATAGAATTAAATCATTCTGATAAGTTTAAACCCACCAGGAACCTTCGACAATTTTCATCTAATTTAACTATAGCATCTTTATATTTATTTCCAACCAATGATTTATCGGTTGAATCTTCGTAAAAATGACCAATGGTCTCAGCAATTCTCAATTGCGCACCGGACATATCTGTGCAATCAAATAAAATTTAGATTAGTTCAAATTTAAAATAAAATAAAAAAAACTTTAACTATTAGTACTTGCTTCTCATTGAATCCAAATATCCTTTAGCTTCTTTATGAAGTTTTTCACATTTTGATTCAAGACTAATTAAACATAATTATGAATATAAATAGTTGTATAAATAAATTATCGTTCAAATTTTAGAATATTACGCACCTTTTAAATCTTTGTTCTTCTATATCGAAATTTTCATCGACCTTAACGTTAAAATAAAAAAAATTTAATCCAACAAGGAAAGCATGTATACGTGTATGTATATTGTTAAACTTACTGTCTTTTCAATAGTACCAATTTTTTGTGATATCTAAATATTAAAGAAACGAAAAAAATTTAGTATTTGAAAATGATTGAAAGAATATAAGGTAACATCCGAATACCTTTGTTCCAGTACGACCAACTGTTTTTTTGAAACTTGACCTATATTTTCAAAAAAAAAAAAAAAAAAAAGTCGGCTTAATAAAAGTCTCAGGGGGTGTATTTTATCTTTATTGAATAACTAACCAACTCATATTTTATAAAAAGTGAAAAATGATCTTGGGAAAATTTGTATCTAACAGATATATATTGACTGCGGGGCAGGGACGATGATTTTCTGTGTTTCACAGAATTACACAGAATATGGATGATAATTTTTCAAAATTTTAGCCCGATTTATCATTGCATAATTCTGGCCAAATCACAGAATTTCAGGGGGTAATAATTTTGACCAAAAAAGGAAATAAACCTAAAACCAAAAAAAAAAAAAATACATTAGCAGCGGGAGGTTTCGATCCTCCGACCTCGGGGTTATGAGCCCCGCGCGCTTCCTCTGCGCTACGCTGCTTGAACCATGTTATTTTTGATAAATAAATAGTATATATATTAAATTTTGATAGTATCATTATGCCATTCTTGTAAATTAGATTAAATACACACGGGTTTGAATCTTTCATTTAAAACGATTTTGAGTTGTTAGAAAAAATGAATATGAAAACATATTATGACAGTTTCAAAAATTGTGTATTTAATGAAGATGGAGACGGGGTTAAAGTACTTTTATCTATTGCTGCCCCTTACGCTAAAGATCTCACTCTAAAACTCTCACAACTTAATGTAAGCGAATCTGTTTTCTCCTTTTCACCGACCTTAAGAATCTTTTTATTGATTATTTCAATAATTAGCCCAAAAAACTGGAATTGGAGACTCATCGATTAATGGAAAGTCCCTGGGATGAACTTGTTTTACAATATTTCAAAGTTCTTTTAGCTATTTACAAAAATAATTATTATGAAGCTTATAGAGAACATTATAATATGATTGTGTATCCTTAATTGGTTCATAATTTATTATTATATACAAGATACAAGAATTATTCTTACTAAATGATTAAGATAGTACTTTTTTTAGGCTAGCGTCAAATCTGACGCGTTGGATTCTACCTGTTTTATATATGATTTGTTGGGAAACAAGAGAACTCGCAGATAAGGTAATAACAGCATTTATTAATGTTAATTTTGTCAATTGCTAATATTTTTTTTTTATTGCCAAGGCGGATGATTATTTAATAGATAATGACGAAGATCCAAAATGTTTAGAAGAAGCAGCTCGAAATATAAACAAAGGATTCTCGACCTGTATTACGGATAGGTTTTATTTGATTTTAATTTTAACTGTGATGTTCATTTTTTTCTTTTTATCATCATCGACTTTATTTTGAGCTATTTGATTAAATTACTTTAGGTCTCCTCTCACTACCTCACGTAAATGGGGAGTTTATTATATGGCGGGATTTGCATTTAAAACTTATTTCAAGGTAATAGAAAATACGATATATGTATGTATTTTAAATTTTTAAACGATATATCATTATTCTGTTTAAAAAAGGTTAGACAAAGAAATTTATGTACAAATATTTTGAGATCAATAAAAGTCCAGGATTTACCAAACCTTGGGCAATATCCAAAATCTCATCAAGTTACTTTTTTGTATTATCATGGTAGGCTCTTATTTTTGGAAGCTGCATATCAACAGGTAATATTTATATTTATTATCACAATTACTAAGAATTACTAATCATACAAGAAATTTTCGTGATAAAATAATAATTAGGCTGAAGAAAAGTTTGTAGCAGCATTTAAAAAGTGTCCAAGAAATGCAAAGAGAAATAAAGAACTTATCCTTCGTTACCTTATTCCTGTTTTGTTAATTCGAGGTGTTTTACCATCACGAGAATTACTAGCAAGATATCCAACAACGAATGAGCTGTATGGGCCATTTATTGAAGCTATTAGAAGTGGCAACGTTAAAAAGTTTGAAGAAGCCTTGTTACAAAAGGAAAAAATTTTAGTTGCCTATGAAACGTTTCTAACAGTCGAACTTGCTCGTGAAATTTCGATTCGTATTTTATTTAAGAAAGTGTTAGTACCCTTATTAGATAAAGACACTACTAATCTTCAAAAATTCAAAAGTAAAACTAATTTATTATTTATTTATTTATTTTAATAATAGTTATATTCTTAATGATCGCGAATCAAGGATTCCTCTTGATAAATTTCATAAGGCGTTGAAATTTGTTGGATTAAATGTGGAAATGACTGAAGTTATTTGGTTTATGGCTGAAATGATTAGAAAGGTGAAATTTAACACCAACCTTATTGTTTCCATGTTTGACGCAAAAATCATGCTCATAATTTCTTTTCTTTTCTTTTCTTTTCTATAGGGATTTATCAGGGGTTATCTCTCCTACCAAAAAATGTTTTTAGTATTGAGTGAAATCAACCCGTTTCCTCCTGTTGGTAATCAATGCTAATATAATTTTATTTTGATTAAATAAAGTATTTCCGAATGCTTACTTATTCTTAACTAAAAATGGCAGTTAGACCTTCAATTCCCATAATGTTAGTTTACCGTGTCACATTGCTGCGCTTGGACACGCGTTTCCAAATGTTTCGATTTAATAAATTTGCAATAACAAAGCTTTGTTGCCTACATTTTATTAAAATATAATTTACAATGTTCAACTAGGATCCGCTAAAAAATTCGCTTGCGTTATGTATCATTTTTTTTTTTTTTCCCACAAAAATGAACCGTTGAGACAATTTCGAACATTCTGGAATAAATTACATTTTTCGTATTACTGAGCTTACTAATTATTAATACGGTTTTGTAAAGATCCTCACATTTTAAAATCAAATACAAGAAAAAATAGTTTTAAGCAACACAGTTCTTCCGGCAACCTCACGTTCCTGAACAAAGACCATATTTTTAACAACCCTGAAGCAAAACAATATTACTTACCAAAGTGCAAATAAAATTAAAGAGAAGTATGATGTCTCAGTCAAAACATTGCGATGATGGGCCAACTCCGGAAGAATTGCTATTGTCAGGACACCTGGTGGAAAACGACTCTATTCAATCACAGACATACGAGGAAAGAGGTGATCTCGAATGACAGATTGCAAATCTTCAACAGCACTACCCAGAATATGAAATCGTCAGCGACATTGGCTTAGGGCTCAACTGGAAACGAAGGGGGTTGGTTGCCCTTCTGGAACAAATACACACAGGAGGAATCGAAGAAGTGGTGGTTACCCAAAAGGTTTGAGTTTAAATTATTTATTTGCTTTGATTTATTGTTTTTATTTTGCTAACTTTTTTATTAGAACCGATTGTGCCATTTTGGATCTGAGCTTGTGGAATGGATCTTTGAGAAGAATGGAATTCGGCTCATGGTATTCAGTACAGATGTTAATGCCGAGAGTAATGAAGCCGGAGAGCTTGCAGAGGACTTGCTCTTAATCATTACGGTATTTGTGGCAAGACATAATGAAATACGTTCAGCCGTCAACCGCAGAAGAAGACGAGAAGCTGCCCAAGCCTAAGAAGATCAAGTGTTCCAAGACTCCAGCAGGCAAAATACAACATATCCGTCTCTTTCCTACACAAGAAGAGCGGTTGAAACTTAGACAATGGATTGGGATAACAC